TCTTTTTTATGGCTGCGTAGTATTCCATCGTGTATATGTACCACATTTTTTTAATCCAGTCCTCTTTTGATGGGCAGCATGGTTGTTATCACTCTATAAAAAAGATACCTGCACACATATGTTTATCGCAGCATTGTTCACAATAGCAAGAACCTGTCACCACCTTTTTAACAGGATAGGACTTGCCAGATCTCACACCTCTCACAGTCCCATTGTGTCCTCATCTGTACCTGGGCTCCCTTTCCTCCTTCACCTTGCATTCAGAGAACCTCCCATTATATTCAAGAACCTGCCATTGTGGTTCAGAGGAAAGATAATTCATTGTGGGCCACATGAGATCTCATGGACAGGTAGGTTCGATCTCATGGTTAAGGCCAGGCTCAGTGACTCAGCCTGTAATCCCAGCACATTGGGAGGCCAAGGCGAGTGAATTGCCTGAGCCCATGGGTTCAAGACTAGCCCAGGCAACTTGACAAAACCTCGTCTCTACAATAAATTTTAAAAATTTAAACTTTTTTTAAAAATTAGCTGGGCGTGGTAGCATGCACCTGTAGTTCCAGCTACTTGAAAGGCTGAGGCAGACAGACCACCAGAGTCCAGCAAGTCAACACTGGGGTAGCCGTGAGTCTGCCACTGCACTCCAGCCTGGGAAACAGAGTGAGACTCCAACTTAAAAAAAAAAAATCTTGTGTTGATTGAAGTCTAGGTAGGAGTTTGATGGATAGGAAAAGAGTTTTCAAACTAAATGAAAACAGAGGCATAGAAGGGGAGTGTACCTCCAAAGGAAAGCAAATACCACCAGGCTGAGCTGAGGGTCTGTCCTGAGAAGTGTTGAGAGTAAAGAGTGGAAACTCAAACTCTGAGGGAACCTTGGTTCTGATGAATGGATCGTGCTAACAATGGAGGTCTCCTGGAGGTTACTTGAGATCATGAGTATCAGGAGGAAGGAAGACTGCAGAGGTGATAGACATGAAGGGATAATAAGAAACAAGGTGAGAGACAGTCACACCAGTTGAGAGGCTGGTGTGGAAATCCAGAACTGCGGACTGCAGGGTCTGAGCCTGACTGGAAGCCACAGGAATAGAGAACAGATGTGGGGGGACATTGGGAGGGAAGAACTGCCAGGGCCTGGTGACTGATGGACACAGATAAGAATCCGAGATGCCCAGTTCTGTAGGAGAGGAAAACGTGCTGAATGCAAGATGTCAATGAAGCCTGCACCATCCCTTCCCCAGATCCCCACAAAAGATCTTCTGGAAGCGCCTTCCTTCCTTCACCTTCAGGAAAGGCTCTCACTCAGGCCTTTGTCTTTCAGGAAAAAGATGTGACTCCAGATAAAAACCTGCTAACCAAGGCTCGAGATGCTGCTCTATGGCTAGAGACCTTGTCAGACAGCAGACCTGCCAAACCTTCCTTCTCCACGGCCTCCTCCATTGCTGACTTCTTCCTGGCCCTAACCATCTGCAACTCCGTCATGGTGTCCACAACCACTGAACCCAGGCAGAGAGTAAGGACGGGCGGGGATGGCTGGGAGGGACATAGAGGAGCCAGAGTAAGAGAAGATACATAAATAGACAAACAAACTAGAAAATGAGATATAGGTCAATATGAACTGAATTCCCACTACATATTGGCTGAGGGTGGGGGAAGAGGAGTTAGGGAAGTAGAAAGCAGGATGGGGTGAGGAGGGAAGCCTTGATCAGGGAGTTATGATACTTGAGTCCCAGGCACAGTGTCATCATTTCATCACTGTGAGACCTAGAACAGGTCTCTCACCTTCCCTGGGTCTGTTTCCTCATTCTTTAATAAAAGGGAAAAAGTTTTATATGTGAACTCTCTGTGTAGCTTTCAAACTTTGTCTATGTGTCTGCAGGGTAGATAATAAGAGTTAATAATTACTGAGCACTTGGCTACATGCCAGGCTCTGTGCCAAACACTTCACCTGTAGGATAAAGTAATTGTCACAACCCAACAACCCTATGAGGTATGTCCTTGGATCTGACAAGTAAAGAAATGGTAGCTCAGAGAACTTAAGTAACTTAACAGAGGGTGTATGGTTAATACATGGCAGAGTCATTTGTAATGGTTCCTAATAACGTTGTGTTCATACTGCTCTCTGCTTTTATTTGTGGATCACAAAATAATTAATACTGTATTGATGTTCTTCCCATGGAGATAATGGATGGTCATTCATGTAAAGTTATTCTACACAATCTACTAAAAGTAGATTTGTCTTCAATTTTCCACAAACTTTCAGCAAAGCTTCCTTGTGAGTCACTGATAACAGTTAGATGGTACAACTTGTGTCTTTGAAACCAAAATGAGAAGGTTCACCCAGGCACTCAGCCACAACTCCCCCAACCTTGTTTGGCCCAGATTCCAAATCACCCTGAAAAGTCAGTTCAGCCATTGAAAAATCACCAAGTTATCAAAAGTCTTCACGAAGTTCTTGGAGGCAGGAAGCCTTATCTGCAAAATTAACTCTCTTTGAGAGGGGAAATACCATTTGGGAAGGTTAGCATCTGACTCTCAATTTCCAAGTTAATGGCAAGGATTTAGCTGATAGATCACTTAAGGGCCCTGGTCTCTGGAGTCAGGCAGACCCAGACTTGGGTCCCAGCTCTACTCCCAGCACACTGAGTGATCATGGTCAATTTATTTAACCTCTTTGTGTCTCAGTGTTCTCATCTATAAATTGGGATAATGATAGTATCCCATAGAGTTACTGGGAGGATGAAATGAGATACAAAAATAAAAAAGGTTAGGATAGGGGTTCTGGAAACGTGAACGATCACCTCCTTTTATTTCCTTTGTCCATGCTTAGAGGGGAATGATCAAAAGATAGAGAAAAATGAGCATTGTGAACCCCTAGAATGTCAAGGCTGGAAGAAAACATCTGGCCTAACTCCCTCATTGTATGGGTGGGTAAACTGAGGCCCACAGAGGTCACAGACAGCCCAAGTAGTTCACTTATTACAAAAGTTACCTTCATGTTCTGCATTAGACAGTTTGATATTATTTCCAGCCTTGAGAGTCATGTTCTGCTTTTCTCGTTTGACCACAAGATCACCATCCCACCCTCAAACAAGCCTCTGGGGACATCCCTGGAGAAAATTCAGCAGCTCTTCCAGAGGTTGAAACTATCAAGCCTCAGCCAGTCTTTCTCGTCCACTGCACCCTCTGACACAGACCTGGGGGAGAGTTTGGGGGCCAACATGCCCACCACAGACTCCGACGAGAGAGATGATATGTCTGTGTGCAGCGGAGGCTACTCCACTGACGGCGGCTACAGGAGCAGCACGTGGGACCAGGGGGACATCCTGGGGTCTGGGTCGGCCGCTTCCTTGGAGGAGACACTGGAGTCCCCAGCTCCAGGCCTGGCCGGGCCCGAGGTCTGTTATGAGGCTGAGAGCCCCGACGAGGCGGCCCTGGTGCATGCTGCCCACGCCTACAGCTTCACACTGGTGTCCCGGACACCCGAGCAGGTGACCGTGCGCCTGCCGCAGGGCACCTGCCTTACCTTCAGCCTCCTCTGCACCCTGGGCTTTGACTCCATCAGGAAGAGAATGTCCGTGGTTGTGAGACATCCGTTGACTGGTGAGATCATTGTCTACACAAAGGGCGCAGACTCAGTCATCATGGACCTACTGGAAGACCCAGCCTGTGGTGAGTCCCGCCTCACCAGGGGTCCAGAAAGAGAAGGCTCCATAGTTTAAGAGGCAGTGTGAAATGGTAGTAAGGAGCTCAATTATAGTGTCACCCGGTCCTGCAGGTCTCAACTGGAATACAAGCCTACAAGATGCTCTCTTCAAGATCCTTAAAACACACTGCATTTTATACCCCCTTGACATGGAGAATCACTGTGTGTATTAGCATATTAAAGACTGTATAGTCTTGTAGTGGAGAAACATCTTATCCCAGTTTCTAGTTTTTCAAACTCATTCTAAATTTTCCTGATTATACACACACAATTTTTTATACCAGAACATCCATAAACATACCCTAGGCTGGGTACAGTGGCTCATGCCTATAATCCCAGAGTTTGGGAGGCCTAGACCGGAGAATTTATTGAGACGAGGAGTTTGAGACCAGTCTGGGCAACATAACAAGAGCCATCTCTACAAAATTTAAAATAAATAAATAAATGGGAGGGCAGATTTTAAACACACACACACACATACACACACACACACACACACACACACACACACACACACACACACACACACACACACCTTAGAACTGTGATCCTAACCCTTTGCTTTGGAGAGAAGTCAACTCAACCTAAAAAGAGAAGTGACTTAGGAGCGATGACACAGCTAACGAGTGTTAAATCCCGGGCCTAGGAATCCTGAATTCCAGTTCAGAGCTTGTTGCATGCTGCCAGCATTCTGCATGGGCTTGGGTCACTCTGGGAAGTCTCAGGTGTTCCTCTCTTTCATCCTTTTCCCCAGCCTCCCCCAGATGGATTTTCATAAACTGCAATGAGCCAAAAAAATGTTCCAAAGTCCCTGCCTATCAGTGTCCAATTTTGGAGCAGCATGAATTAGTGTGCAGCCGCTTCCTGATTGCTAACAAGGAGAAGACAGTTATGGGGCTATGATTCTCCCAGGATGGTAGATCCCAGCCAAGCTTTCAGATTGCTCAGGCAGCCCTGTGCCTCCTGCAGTATCAGCTGTGGACCAGGGCCAGGAGGTTCATGGGACCGATTAGTGCTGAGAATGCGAAGGGAGCTAATTAACTGTCTTCATCCCCAGACTCTGGCAGACAAGTGAATCCAGGGCTTCTGAGTCAAGGGAGCCACCACACTATATCCCTGGGCAGCAGCCATCTGTGCTTACCTAGAGATGTTTCTTGATTTGCTCCTCACCTGATTGCAAAATGGATTTGAGATGCTTTCAATAAAAGACTCATACACAGTATTACTATAAGAGTTGAGAAGCAAAACTCTGAGGGAGGTGGGACAAAAGAACCCCAGGTTTAATAATATTTATAATGTTTGAGCATTCAATTTTATGACAAGCTTCCTGGAAGCCTGAGCAAAAAGGGAAACTCAAAGGTGACAGGTAGAAGACAAAGTGGTTTAATCTCAGAAGCTGGTGTCTCTGAAAATAAAATATTATAAATAATGCTCGATAAGACAATGCACAAACGAAGATTGTCCTTAAGGCACTAAGAAAACAGTAGCATCTTAAAAATGAGAAAATAATCTTTTAAAGTATTTTTATATTGTATAAAAACAGGCTTAGAGTAGTATCATGGAAAATCAGAGTTTTGTTAGAGTTCCTTTTACTTATCTCACTGTTAAGAATTATGTTTTTAATTTTGCATTACATACAAACATGGGTAAGATGCACAAATTTTGTTCACTACCAGGACCTCTAAAAATCTCAATTCAGCCCTGGTGCAGAAAGATCCTGAAACCTTTTCCAAGCTCAGCTTTACAAAAGACTGTGATTGATATGTGATGTCTGGGACAGTTGAGATAAAGGAAGTGGTAATGACATCAATCCTGCCCCACACCAGCCAACCTAGACTTAAAATTCTTAGTAAAGAATTAGATAGATAAAAGAACTGGAGTTTCAAAAGAAAAAGACAAATTATTTCTGACAGAAACTTATGTAGAACTTCACAATGGGGACTTGGAGCAGCACAGATATTTTTCACACTAGATTTACAGGAAATGAAAAATCATGATTTTCGTAAGACTATTTTTTGAATAGAAAGAAAGCCCAACTCAGCAAAACCAGTGTGGTGAAGAACTTAGCTAATGAGATCCAGGTTTGTAACTTGGAACCCAATTTGAAACAAGAACTGAGGTAGGTGACTGAGAGAAGGATAGATAGTCTAAGACTTAGAGAACAGTTTTCAGGCAGGGCCAAGCTGACTACAGAAAACACCTTAAGTAACATTAAATATGTAGATTTCTGGTCCCCTAACCTGAGAATCTTGATCACTTGGTAGATTTCCCAGGTGATTCTCACCCCAAACAAGTGTTTAGGAGCACCTACCTTCCTTAAATAGCACTTATTTCAGCCAGGCCTTTGATGAGAAGATGTAGACAGCAGACAATTTAAGGACTCCTGGACTGATCACCTTCCAGGACAATGTGATAGCCAGGAGAGCCCTTCTGTGTTTCTAAGTCAGGCTGTGCAGGAGATACCTTCTCTAAAGCATTTGTAATCGACGGGAAAGGTCTGAGGGTATTGGGGATGGGGATCCTAAAGCATTTGTACATGGCCTCATGGGGCACAATGACTATTTGACAGTGACTGACATTGATGTGGAAAAGAAGCTGAGAAAAATCCGAGCCCGTACCCAAAAGCACCTAGACTTGTATGCAAGAGACGGCCTGCGTACACTCTGCATAGCTAAGAAGGTAAGCATGAATTCCCCCAAATATGCCTTGAACACTAGTACATCACTGAATGGCCAGAACGCTTCTTCTGTCTTTTTCTTTGCTAAAGACCCTTCAAGTTGTTTGTTTTAATATTCTCAAGATTAGCTATTCTGACTCACTATAAAAGCCAATGAATTTGACAACTTTACTGGAGCAGAAATCTGAATGACTGGGTCTCATATCAGTGTGACTTTATCATTCCCTGCTTTTTATTATATATGTAATCGGTAACCCATAACCCATAAAATGAATTTTTAATGCAATGACCTTGCCTTCAAAGGATCTTTTTAAGATGTGCATTATTTGCCTAAATTTAAATTTGGGGAGCTTTTGTGTGTTCATATAAAATTCTAGATTTCTGGTTTCTTTTGAAAGTTTAGAGGATCTGACAAACTGTCTCCATTGTTGAATGGCAGCAATCAGTTTCCCAGGTAGCAGTTAATTCCTTTGACAAGAGATGTTCAGTTGTGTTCTGCAGTTAGCCATAGTCCCTACCACTTCCTGTTACATTGCCCTTCATCCAGGTCTAGTCATGTAGATTTCCTACCAGATTCCCACCTCATGCTCTGTAGTCTTTGACTTTGCAGCCCCTAGAAGAGAGGCAGGCAGTGAGGGCTATGAGTTGGAGAGCAGAGGTAACTAACGAGACACCTAAAAGCTAGCAGGGTTGCTCTGATGGGCATGTATTTCTAAATGACTAGAGATGGTTTCTCCTACATAAATCCTCAGGGTTGTTCATATCTTTTATGGTACTTAGAGATTAAGAGCACACAATTAGGCCGGGTGAGGTGGCTAATGCCTGTATTCTCAGCACTTTGGGAGGCTAAGGTGGAAGGATTGCTTAAGGCCAGAAGTCCAATACCAACCTAGACAACAGAGCAAGACCCATCTGTACAAAAATAAAAATAAATTAGTTGAGCATGGTGGTATGCACCTGTACAGTCCCAGCTACCTGGAAGGCTGAGGCAGGAGGATCACTTGAACCCAGGAGTCTGAGGCTAAAGTAAGTTGATTGTGCCACTGTATTCCAGCCTGGGTAAAGAGTGAGATCCAGTCTCCAATTTAAAAAAAAAAAGAGCACTCACTTTAAAGCCAGACCCCCCCCCTCAGGTGCAAGTCCCAATCTCACCACTTTTAGATGTGTGACCCTGAGCAGGTTTTTTCACTCCTCTGAGTTTCCTCTGTAAAATGGTGCTAATCCTCCCTACCTCACACAGTTGTCATGGAGATCAACAAAGGTAACACACATACAGCACCTGGGACTGTGACCAATGCTCACTACTACTCTGAATTGGAATTACACTCTTACCACCTGCTATTTTCCATTGTAGTTATTTGTGCCTATTTTGCCTCCTCTCAAAGGAAAAGGCCTACCTATGTTCCTTTGGTTTCCCCTCTAATGCCATGTGGAGGGAGTTGAGGAATATTTGATGCTTGAACAAAAGAATTCTTCACTACTGTAAGAGACAGTATGCATGTAATGCCGGCAGAAGGGTCCCAGAGTGCTGTGGGACTCTGAGGGAGGCAGATGTGGTCACTAGCTGGATTCTACCGGCACTTGGTCACATCCGCATTTGTGACACCATACCTGGTGGCTGGTCTACAGGCTATGCACGATCGGGCTGCTGCTTTCCCCTTCAGCCTCTTTCTCAACCTTCTTTCCATCCTTCCACCACCTGATGCATTCCAGGAACAGAAAGAAAGCCTTTGTGCTGTTCTTTTCCATGATTCACCCTTCATTGGATTTTAGCTTGCATGTCGAGGATTTTAGCTTGCCTGTCAAGGAGACCTGAGCATCCAAAAGAAAGCTGCCCCCTCCCCACGGTTATCCCCACCCCATCACACTCCATCATATCACCCTTTTCTGCACAGCACTCCTTGATATGATCTATTCTTTTTTTTTTTTTTGAGTTGGAGTCTCACTCTGTCGCCCAGACTGGAGTGCAGTGGCCGCTCCCGGCCACCGCAGCCTCAACATGCTGGGCTCCGGTGATCCTTCCACCTCAGCTTTCCAAGTAGCCGGAACTACAGGCGTGTGCTACCACGCCCGGCTGATTTTTTGATTTATTGTAGAGATGAGGTCTCGCTGCCCAGGCGGGTCTCGAACCCGTGGGATCAGGCAATCCACTCACCTCAGCCTCCCAAAGGCGCGGGATCACAGGCTGAGCCACCGAGCCCGGCTGATCTATTCTTTTAAGTTATTTACTTGGATAATGATTCTTGCCCTCCATCAGCATGTAAACCCAGACATACAACAACCTTGTCTGTCTAGATCATCTCCAGTGCCCTAATCACAGTAGGGATCAACAGATGTTTGGTGATAATGGAACACATATGGATCAATCTTCATTGATTTATGTATTTAAAAATTCACAGAAAAGAAAGACCCCTCTAATTATGTAATGAAGTTGAAACAGGCCCTCAGGCGGCCCAGCAGGTGAAGAAGGAAAGGGCATTCTCTTGCTGACCCACCCAAGGTTGTTAAGGAGCCTCTTCCTGTCCTGTAGGTCATGAGTGAGGAGGACTTCCGGAGATGGGCCAGTTTCCGGCGTGAGGCTGAGGCGTCCCTCGACAACCGAGATGAGCTTCTAATGGAGACAGCGCAGCATCTGGAGAACCAACTCACCTTGCTTGGTAGCTAAAAATAAGTCATCAATATATGAAAAAAGGAAGGCAGCATGTTGGGAAGGGAGTTCTTGGCTCTGACTCTGACACTGGAACAAATGTGTCTCCATTAGCAGCCTTCCCTGGGGTGCCCTGCCAGGTATTTGGCATCCATGGGCCATGCTGATACCCAACTCAGACTCCACACACAGCTTCCCAGGGATGCCCTGGGAGCATTCCCGCACTACCTGCTGGCAGAAGCCTCTGAATTTGGCTCCTTCTCCAACAGCACACTCCCTGATCCATTCAAACGTTTGCTGAGCACCTACTATGTGCCAAGTAGCATGCTGGGCACTGGGGCTGCCACAGGAGGCAAGAGCCACAGGCTCTGCCATCCCAGAGCTCAGAGTCTAGCAAGGATGCTGGATGATTAAGCAAGGTATTTCACAAAGTGTGATGAGACCTGGACTGGAAGATGAAGATAGGCCAGGTGGGATGGAAGCACAATATAGAAAGTGCCAACCTCACCCAGAGGATTGGGAGGGCCTAAGGAATGCCATTAACTGAAAGGAATATAAGAAGCTGGACAGGCAGAAGGAGAGAACATTCCCAGTGGAGGGAGGAGCCCAATGAAAGCCTGGAGATGGAATCCTAGGCCAGTGGGAGACACAGAGGTCTGCTGTGGCTGGACCACAGAGTCTGGTGAGAGAAATCATGGGAGGAGAGAAAGGTCAGCAGGACTCAGATTACAAAGGACCATATAAATCAGATGCTAAAAGTTTGCAGAGGGCTGGGGGAGGGCAGAGGTGGGGGTGGGCAGGACTAGATCTGTGCTTTACAAACATTGCTCTGGCTGCTGCTGTGTAGACATGAGATTGCTGCCCTGGGGAAAGATGAAAAGAAATTAGTCAAGAGACAGGCTGTGTTTCTGCTGGAAGAAAACATTTCCAAGGGGCGAAGCTTTATTGATCAGGATTAATGTCTTCCTACCTGGAGACCAAGATCTAGGTAAGGCAAATCTCTAACTGCATGCACTGGCCATGTGGCAGAAAACCTCCTTTTATCCTGGTGGACCACGCTGACCTGGGATGAAGACCAAGGTCTAGCCCTGCAGTGACCTTGCTGTGTGCCTAGGGATGTTTTCCTCCACCTCTCTGATCTTGGCGTTTCCTCTGGATAATGTATATGCACCAAGCTACCCAGCCAGGCAGGTGTCCTAGGGAAAAGCCCCAAGATCGCTGTAAGGCATTAGTGGCTTTATATATAAGAGAAGATTTAGTAGGGTGGTTGGCAAGATGGGGGAGAGAATGAGTTCCCCACCTCCTTCAGTCTTTTGTTTCCTATGTCTTGGCTGCGGAGGCCTTTGCTGCCTTATGTGGTCCCTTTAAAGCGGGACATAGGAATTATTTTAGCAAGAACCGGAGAGTGGCCAGGTCACTCTATGCACCACATGAGGCCACACAAAAGTCTTCCCATTCAGGCACCTGAGCCCTTCTAGCCTCCCCAGGGCATCTCTTGTTTCAGGCAGCACCCTGTTCTCTATGAAGTGTGCATCCACTGCTTCTGCAGGAAGAGACGACACTTGTCAGGACCTGTCGGCTTCCCCTGGCTGGGAAAGGCTTTCACAACCTTCCTGTTTCATTTTCTCTTTCACACAAATAAATGTGTTTTTCTTCCTTTCCCCTTCACTCTGCCTCATCATGATATAAATCATCTCCAGAATCACACCTTCCAGACTAACCCTTGAAGGGGAAGTTGAGGCTCAAGCCATCGCTTGTGAGGGGATTGTTTACCTGTGTGTCTGGACCTGAAATGCAAAACAGGCACATTTGGGGATAAAGAGGCTGTTGGAAAAAAGCGAACTGGGCTGAGAAGAGATTTCATCCTGCCACCGATAAACTGGCATGCCATTAAAAACCTGCATTGCCTTCACACTAAGTCTCAAAATATGAAATGATCTTTTCAATATGCATCCAATGTTCTGCTGTGCCAACCTATTATCACTCTGGATTATTAAAAGAAACAAAATGCCTTGCTCCTGCCCAGAGTGAAATAGGCAGCCATTAGTCTGAGGTCTGAAATGAATCTCAATTAAAATGCAGATTTATTTTTGCTTAATCACTTAGCAACTATTCAATATTTGGGTATATATTCATTAGGGTTGGTGCAAAGCTTGAGATCATTCGAAAATTATGGAATCTGCATGTTTAATTCCCTTCAAGAACATCATCAGAAATGCGAGTCCCTATCAACTCTGCTGTGATCAGTTGCAGAGCAAAGATTTTTGTTGCCCCACTTGTCTCCATGCCTGCTGATACCACACAGGCACAGTCCACTGCTGGCTCTCCTCCACATACCCATCCAGCCTCCTAAGGAAACGCTAGCCCTGAATCTCATCCTGCTTCTCTAATCTGCTATCTAGAATGATCTTCTCAAAAGCCAAAACTTATTCTGTCCCTCCCCAGCTTAAACCCTTAAATAGCTTCTTCTGCTACCAAATTTGTTGCCAATCTTTTAAGGCTCTGACAAGGCTCTGCATGATCAAGCAGCGCTGACCTCCCTCCCAGACCTCATCTCTTATGCTACTCTGCCTCCCTTTCTGGACCTTCTTCTACTCAAACCTCTGGACCCTCACACATGCTTATCGCTCTACCTAGAATTTCCTCCCTCGCCACCTCCTTGCTCTACCTTCCAGGTCTGAGCTTAAATGGCACTTACTCAGCAAGGTCCACCCTGACCTTCTAGGTGAAACTTGAGTCGCCTGGTATATATTCACACAGCACCCTGACCTTCTCTCATCATGAAGCTTAGTTATACATCTTTATTCAATGACTGTAGAGTTCTGAGAGTGTAGAGACTAGCTCTGTCTAGTTCACTATTATGTCCTGAGTGCCTAGTACAGTCTAGCACAGAAATGATACCTGATAAATATTGCCTGGCTCCATGGGGCTTTGTGGAAATTTAAAAGCTACTCTTTTATCATAAATGCGAGCCCTGGTGTCTTTGATCACTCCAGGAGCCACTGGGATTGAAGATCGGCTGCAGGAAGGAGTTCCAGACACAATCGCTGCTCTGCGGGAGGCGGGGATCCAGCTCTGGGTCTTGACTGGAGATAAGCAGGAGACCGCCGTCAATATCGCCTATTCCTGCAGACTCTTAGATCAGACTGACACTGTCTACTCCATCAATACAGAGAGTCAGGTGAGGCCAAGTAGGGAGCAGATGACCCACATTGGCAGTTCCTTGACCAACAGGAGACAAGCTTATGGGTAGAACTTGGGTAAACTGAGGAAGCACCTCACCCCAACATATCACTGAATCTTGGAGTTTGGAGGGTCCTGGAAGTCATCCCACCCAATATCCTCCATCTCATCCCCACACATAGTAGACTGGTCTCTTTTATATGATTTCCGGCACTACTTATTGGAAAGTTTTACCTCTCCCAAATTCTTCCTTTGGGCCAATCTTCCCATTTCACAGATGAGGAAACTGAAGACCACTAAGTTATTTGCCTAGGTTCATTCTGCTATTTCCTGATGACAAAACTAAGACTAGAACTCTGCTCTCCTGGCAGACTAGTGCACTTTACATTTGACCACACTGTTTGCTCATGGAAACTCATGGTCAATTTTTTACTACTTAAGATTAACTCATCCATTGAAAAAGTTGCAATTAAATTGAAATTATTCTGAGTTTAAAATGTCAGCATGAATTTATATATCAAATTGGTCTGTCACAGAGTAGAAGCCTGAAGGGAATCATACACAAGGCCACTATGTTTGGATGGGCCAGGAGAGTCTCCGGAAGAATGAAGCAAGTACTAAAACAAACCAGAATGGGTTGCAGGTGGCAGGGAGTGGGGTTTGGAGAGAAGACTGTGGAAAGTCTCAAGAAACATATTCAAAGCTATAGTTCAACTTTGTAGTTAGAAGGAAATATCTGTTTTCACAATGCAAACTGCAGAAAGTGAAGTTCCTAAGGAATAGTCAGCCACACTCCACCTTTAATTCAGTCAATAACAATTTTTGTAATACTATCCAGGGCCCTCCAATATGGTGCCTGAATTCTTGACCCTGCCTATACCTCTGGGTCCACTAAATCTGTAAGATTAGTCTTTCTCATCCCCTTGCCTGTGAATAAGTGCATACATATGTTAAACCAGAAATGGGAGAAATACATTCTACATCCTAGACTTATTTAAAACCTAGTTTAATGTAATTACATATTCAGTGGGTATTTTCTCCAAGGGTTTTAATTTACCCAATTCACTATAAGTTGATTTAGGGTTACTATTATCTCTCTTACTATCCTGACTGATAAAGATGGGAGGAAGGCACTGAGATGTGTGCTCCCATCAGAAGGGATGTGTGCTCCCATCAGAAGGGAACCCAGGGGTTGGGTTCAGTGGAGGGTATTAACAAGGAGAACACTGTACTGCAGAGGTGGTGGGCAGAGGGCACCTAGGGCACCTACAACCAAGGCATATCATGGAGAGAAGATGAAGAGAGAGGAAGGGGTGGGGGAAGCAAGCATCCAGAAAGGAGGCAGGCAGGACCCAAGAATCTCACGCTTCTCTTTAAGTTTTGCCTGTGGCCCATATAGACCTACAATAGAAGCTTGGGAAAGTTTACATTTTGTTTTACTCCACAAAGAAACCACATATATATATTTTTTAAAAAATAAAAGGTAGTGTAGACTGAAAAAATGCCTTTGGCCCTTTACACAAATTGGAAACATCATTTACTTTCCTTTCAGGTGCACAGATTATGCTATGATTAGATTAAACTCTAATGAATTTTCAGAATGAACATAATCTCAAGAAAAACTTTGGCTTTAATATTATGCTTAGGGAAGAAAGTAATTTTCAGCTTGCTTGAGTGCTTGATCCCTGTGAATGCCTGTCCTGCTTGCAATGGAAATTCGGTTTGCAATGATCCTTTCACTCCAGGTAATCCTGGAAGGAGGAACGTCTGCAAACTAGCCAGGGAGCCAACCTGAGGGTGGTGGAGTGGGCTTCCATGTGTTCTGTTAAATGTCATGCATTCCTGCAGGAAGCTAAAGATGTTTACCAGTCAAATAGTCAAGTTCCTAAGGAATAGTCAGCCACACTCCACCTTTAATTCAGTCAATAACAATTCTTATAATGCTGTCCAGGGCCTTCCAATATGGTACCTGAATCCTGGACCCTACCTACACCTCTGGGTCCATTAAATCTGTAAGATTATTATCTTTCTCATCCCCTTGCCTGGGAATAAGTGCATAAATAAGTTAAACCAGAAATGAGAGAAATACATTCTACATCTTAGACTTATTTAAACCCTAGTTTAATGTAATTACATATTCAGTGGGTATTTTCTCTAAGGGTTTAATTTTCCAAATTCACTATAAATTGATTTAGGGCTACTATTTCTTTGCTTAAAGCAATAAGCAAGTATGCGACCTATCTAGACCTCAGGGTTCTCATCCACTAGATGAGGGAATTACTATCCTATCCCTGGAAGTGATGACCTGTCAAGTAATTCTAAAAGAAACTAGTGTAGTAGATAGGAACTAATAATAGCAACCACTATTATTGTTACTATAACAATATAGATCAAAGACTTAATATGGTTTAAATACCATACTTCTTGAACTTCCATTATCCTCATCTGTAAAAAAGAGATTAAAAATATTTATCTTCCCACGGGCTACTGGGAAGATTAAACAAGATCACAGAAGGAAAGAACTTACACAGTATCTATGTTAGTTATCCATAGATACATAACTAATTACCCCAAAGCTTAGGAGCTGAAACAACAGGCATTTATTATCCCATGGGTATCTGTGGTTCAAGGACTCTCTTGAAGTTACAGTCAAGATGTCAGTCAGGGCTGTGGGTTTATCTGAAGGCTCAACTAGGTGGGTGATTTAAGGTGGGAAGGAGTTCTTCTTCCAAGTTCACTCACATGGTGGTAAGCAGGCCTCAGTTCCTCACCTTGTGGGCCTCTCCACAGGTCTACTACACAACACGGCAGCTGGTTTTCCCCAGGGCAAGTCATTCAAGAAAATGAAAACCAAATTGGAAGCCCCAGTCTTTATATAACCTAATATGGGAAGTGACATTTCATCACTTCTGCAGAATTCCTTTAATTAGAAAGGAGTCACTAGGTCTAGCCCATACTTGATGGAAGGAGATTACACAAAAACATGATTACCTAAGAAGCAGAGACCATTAGGAATCATCTTGGAGGCTGCCTGTGCCAGTACCTCTTGGATACAAAATGTTAAATGAATGGTAACATATTGTGATTGTTACTTTAAAAAGTTAGAAATAGGCTGGGCATGGTGGCTCACGCCTGAAATCCCAGCACTTTGGGAGACAGAGGTGAGAGGATTGCCTGAGTCCAGAGGTTCAAGACCAACCTGGGTGACTTGGCGAGACCCCCCATCTCTACAATAAATCAAAAAATTAGCTGAGTATAGTGGCACATGCCTATAGTTCCAGCTACTTGGAAGGCTAAAGCAGAGGGATCACCTGAGCCCAGCATCAAGGCTGTGGTGACTGTGAGCATGTCACTGCACTCCAGCCTGGGCAACAGAGTGGGACTCCTACTCAAAAATAATAATAATAAAATAATACATTTTTAAAAATTAAAAATTGGAAATAAGTAAATTCAAAATTTTAACTTTGGAGCTTACAAGTCCAGTGACTTGCTGCAGTTATATATTGGAGAAGTGTATATAATCAGTGCCAGTCCCAGCTTCCAGCAAGGACTGCCTGGATATCTTTCCTAGATAAGTGCCTCCAATATAATCACTCACTTCCTGAGCTGTTTCCTGTGGCCCCTCTGGGCTCTGTGCATACCCTAGTGCCTGCAACACTCAACTTAGCATCTTAAAGGAAGACTCAGGAATAATGAACTGTGACTCTATTTCTTCCAAAAGAAATTATCCCAGACATTCCCAGACAGCAATCTCTAGATCAGTGTTCCCAAAACCTGTCTCTTCGGAACGACCTTTATGTTTTTTGCCAAAATCCACATATGACCCGTACTGTTTTTTACTTAATGATTTCATTTAAATTGACTCACCTTGAACATTATTTTTAGAACTTGAGCATTTCAATAAATGAAAAATTATCATCCACTGTCATAGACAAAAGAACACAACAAAATAAAGATCATGTGAAGAAAACAATGCTACTGAAATTGATAATCTGACTATCTGCCACAACTTTATCTTTATTAAAAAGTGATATTCAGATAAGTTAAAGATATATTAAGAATACAATTAAAATCAAAATCTTACTTTATATTTGATATAATCAAAAGTAATACAAGAGAATCAATAAAAGGAAATAAATTTCTCACTGTGTTTCAAGGCAAGCACCAGGAAAAAGATCAATAAAGAGTTTATTTCAGTCAATAAGTCTTTTTATCTATTGTAAGATCAAACCAACATGACCAACATTTCATACAACAGTTCTTAATGCCCTTCATGGAATACAACAAGGGAAAAACAGGGACAATGTGTGTTTTTAAATTAGGAAGCCACAATTTAAGTGGTAATGATCCTGACTCCAGTGGTAATGATCCTGACTCCACTGCTACATTTTGGATGATCTTGGGGGAGTTACTAAAGATCTCATTTCAGTTTCCTCATGTCTAAATTAAGATCAATGATGCACACCCTGCCTACCACACAGAAATGTTCTGAGAAACAAAGGAGAACACAGATGACCTGTGAGACTTAGACACCACCATGTCAGCATGACATATTGCCATTATTTGCCATCATTTTTTTTAATTTCTTTTTTTATTTGAAAGATGTGGGGTACAAGTCAGGATTGGGTACATGTGCAGGTGAAGTTTATGTACAGGTGAAGTTTGGGCCTTCCATTGGACCAATTTGCCTGGTTTGGTCCCATTGGACCAATTTGCGGTGGGTGGTTAGGGTTCTCCCTCATCCTCTAGCAGTGTTCTGTTACTTCCAATCCCTTTTTTGTATTATGACAGGTGTTCAGAGTCGACTTATGAGTGAGAACATGTGGTACTCAGTTCTTTGTTTCTATCCTAGATCACTGAGTATGATCTACTCTAAATCATCCAAGTTGCTGCAGAGTTCATAGTTCTACCCTTCTTTATGGCTGCATAATATTCCATCATGTATATGTATCACTTTTTTAAATCAGTACCATCATATTAATAGTATTTATTTTCTTCCATCACCCTAGTATCAGCTCCCATCATGCTGAGCTATTTTCAACCCCATTCCCAAGTAGTGTCTTCTATTTTGGCCATTAATATTCCAGAATTTTTTTTTTTTTTTTTTTTTTTTTTTTTTAGACCAGGTCTCACTCTGTTGCCCAGGTTGGAGAGCAGTGGTATCATCCCAGCTCACTGCAGTCTCAATCTCCTGGACTCAGGTTATCCTCCCACCTCAACCTCCCAAGTAGTGGGGACTATAGGTGCAGACCACCACACCTGGCTAATTTTTGCATTTTCTGTAGAACAAGGTCTTGCTATGTTGCACAGGTTGGTCTCGAATTCCTGGGTGCAAGTAATCCCCTTGCCTCATCCTCCCAAAGTGCTAGGATTATAGGCACAAGCAACCATGTCCAGCAATAATATCCCAGATTAATATTGCTGTAATACTATTTCAAATACTGCAGGAAAATGTTAAAAAATAGAGAATAATCCCTAAGTAATCTCAATGATAGTAGAGTTTTATAACTAAAACTTTATTTTATCTTTCTTACTAAAGAATAAAATGAAATTGATAACGTACGCTGCCAAGGTTACTTATTAGTATTATATTCGTATGACTCTTTTTATAGGAAACCTGTGAATCCATCCTCAACTGTGCCTTGGAGGAAGTAAAGCAATTTCATGAACCAGAGAAGGCAGACCACAAGTTCTTTGGGTTCCATCTACCTTCTAAGACTTCATCTACCACCTCAGGAACTATGGTTCCAGAAGCCGGATTGGTCATCGATGGGAAGACATTGAATGCCATTTTCCAGGGAAATCTGGAGAAGAAGTTTCTGGAGTTGACCCAGTATTGTCGGTCTGTCCTGTGCTGCCGCTCCACCCCACTCCAGAAGAGTATGATAGTCAAGCTGGTGCGAGACAAGATGCATGTCATGACCCTTTCCATAGGTATCTATCAGGCTGAGATGCGGGTGGCAGCTTGGCAGGGTTGATCTGATGAGAGGCCTGGACCAGCGGTGGGTGGTTAGGTGTCAAAGTCAAGATGCTTAGGCTGAGGGTCATTCTCTTAGAGGGAGAGAGTCCAAAATGACAATCCAGATGTGGCAACTAGGAGATGAAGCAGAGGCTAACAAGGGTGGGAGAGTGCATCAAAGTACTTAGGACTAGCAAGTCAGCTAAAGAAAAATCCGGACTTAGATGGAGGTCAAAGTCAACGGGGGCCTTGAATTCAGAATATCCAGGTAACCCAAGAAAGGTTACCATCAACAAAACACTCTCAGACCATGTCAACTCTGGGATGCAGAGCATTTGCCCTACAATATGTTACACATGGCACAAACTCAGATGTTATGGATTTGATAGCCTCCTCAGTGTTGATGGCTAGTGGGCAGACTTTAAAGGTGGGAACTGTCTCATGCTTAATTTTGTGTGTTCTTTCCTAATATGAGACCAGCACAAAACACATCCTCAATAAATGCTAGATAGTTGGTTGATAAAGAATTGCCCAGAAGAGATTAAACTTTAATCATATTGAGGCAGGGAAATAAAAACTGCACTTACTTAACTCCTTCTGGGAAAAACCAAACGTGGTTTATAAGAACCTTCAGGATCTGCTCTCTGCTACCATCCAACCACATTTCTTGCCATAGTCATCTTCCACTCCCCAGCATTCAGCTTTTTATGTTGCAGCCAAATGAAACTGTTTACCATTCTCCATGGGCCTTGCCCTGTCTTACTTCTGAGTCTTTGCACAAGTGATCAAGAGGACAGGACCCCAACAGCTCCCAGTATCCATAGCTCCAAAGCACTGTCATACATTCTGCAATGGCCTCCTCAGTGGACCATGAGTTCCTTGAGTAGACGGACAATGTCAGCCTTATTCGCTGTTTGATCCCATGCCCAGCATACACCAAGCACATAGTAATACTGCATTTGCTTAGGGACATTCTTACAGATGGTGCCAGTTTCTCTTCCTCCCACACAGTCATTTTCTTTCCTGACATTTCAAATAGGAGGCCCACTATACATGATAGTTTTTTCTTGGTCTTCAGGTAAAAAGAGTTCAGAATAAAAAGAGCAGGGAGACAGAAAGAAAGCAGGGAGCAGACTTTTAGCAACAGCATCCTACATTTGTACCTTAAGCTGTCCTCTTCAGAATTTCAGGCACACACAAGGCAGTAGCCCAGGACTGAGACCTTGAGGTCAGACATTGGTTTTACTCCCATGGCAACCAAAACAAAACCAGCAGGGTGAGAAATAGCGTGGTTTCACACCTCTGCTTCTCATGGTTTGCAAACAGAAGAAGTCAGAGGTTGGATATGTTCTGCCATGAGTAAGATTAAAACTCCACACTACTATGTTATCAAGAAAAATATTAATAATTGCGAGAATAAAGGCTACTTACAGTGGCAACATGGTTAAGATCAACGAATTTGTTACCAAATAGAGAAAGAATTATCTTCTCCTCCAATTTCATATTCTCTGTGATGAATAATATAAATGTAATTGCAGCTCGTTCTGAGAAGCTACTGGAAAAAAGAGGTGGGTCAGGGAGAGAATGAAGACAACATAGTCTACAACAGGGGGTTGCAGGGGTTGGCAAACTGTAACCTGCAGGCTGAATCCAACCCACTGCATGTTTTTGTACACATGCTAGAACAGTTTTTCTGTTTTTAAATGTAAAGGACTAATTGCCTTTCAGCAAAAACGGTTGTTTGATTTTGCTTTTTGGCTCACACAGTCTAAAATATTTACTATCTGACCCTATATCAAAAAAGTTTGCTGAACTCTGGTCTAAAAGATCAAGCACTGGGGTATATCCAGCTTCTGGGGAAGGCCTTACTCTACAGAACTGTATCTAGAGCTATCTGTGTCTACTTACATTTAATTAAAATTAAAATAGAATTTCCCCAGTCTAATTTGAATGCCACATGTGGCTAATGGTTCCTATATTGGACAGTGCAGATACAGAACAATTTCATCAGCACAGAAAGATTATTTAACAATCCTGGATGGAGGCCATGCCTGTGTGTGTGTGTGTGTGTGTGTGTGTGTGTGTGTGTGTGTGTGTGTGTGTGTATGTGTTCCCATGTCTTACCTCCAGTTTCCTGGAACAACTCAGCTCATGTACTGAAAATATAATGTGACTAAATATGTCTCAACCAAAAAATTAGTCAATCTCATTTTTCTATATTGAGAAGCAAAACTGAACACCATCCTTTTCCTTGGACAACATTGGCAATCTCTGATGATTTTGCTGTCTGAACATTCCAGTGGTCTTGATATGGCCAGTGTTTCAAGTTAGGCTGAGTTTGGCAAGCATATTGGCCCTGGAACAAGAAGATCTGAGTTCCAGTTCTCCTTGGCTCCTTTACTAGCTGGATGACCCTTGCAAGTCCTAAGTTGCTCCAATTATCCATTTGCTTTTCAATAAAGTCCACTGTAACATTTGTAAAAGTACTTCTTGTAAATAAATTATAAGACACAAACCGGGCTTGGTGGCTCAGCCTGTAATCCCGCGCTTTGGGAGGCTGAGGTGAATGGATTGCCTGAGCCCGTGGGTTTGAGACCTGCCCGGGCAACTTGGCGAGACCTCATCTTTACAATAAATCAAAATTAGCCAGGCATGGTAGCGTGCACCTGTAGTTCCAGCTACTTGGAAGACTGAGGTGGAAGGATCACTGGAGCCCAGCAGGTCAAGACTGCGGTGACATGAAGCAGCCACTGCACTCCAGTCTGGGCGACGGAGTGAGACTCCAACTCAAAAAAAAAAAAAAAAAAAAAGACACTTCCCAAGATTCACTTGATCACCATTGTATCCCCAATACCTAACATTGTGCCTAGAAAAAAAAAACACTTCATAAATCCTAAGTTTGTTGAATTATAAAGAAAAAAAAGTAGGGCTTCTTGTCCAAAAAAGAAAACATCTCTCAGGCTAAGTACTATAGCAATGACTTTCTATAGGACTATTTAGAGCAATGTTAAAAGGATTCAGTTGTACACAAATGGGGACACTTTAGAGCCACTGCATTGTCACTGAACAGGAGGACCAGGAATAAAGACACCTCATGACCTCTCTTCTTTCAGGAGATGGAGCAAATGACGTAAGCATGATTCAAGCTGCTGATGTTGGAATTGGAATATCTGGACAGGAAGGCATGCAGGTAACACTCCCTTCAACTGTTCTTCTTTCTTCCTGATTCTTCTTGATCCTTAGTGAAGATTTAAGGAATTCCCCCACAGTGTTGGAGGAACTTCTCCCTGAGAACTTCCACCCATATCCAAAGTTGCAATGTCTTCCATAAGCAATGACAAACAGAAGGACATTTGAAAACATTTTTCAACTGGCTAGTTTGATCTGCAAATTGCTTGGTATACTTTCATGGTGTACCTAATTTAGCCAAAATGCCACTTGGAACATTATTGATTGCTAAATTTTTCCACTAAAAGAGACTCCATTTTATCAAATCCCCATCAATATTTGCATTTCCATCACTAGTGTAGATATTTGGTGTTACCTAAACTCATTGATGAGGATGAAATAGTATCAACTAAGAATCCACATGATAGCTCTGAGTGTTCCCCTTTAAGTATCTCCCATATGCCATACTCTATTAAACACTTCACATTCAGTAATTCATTGAATTTTAATAATCGCCACATCCCTATGTGTTAGGGATTGTTATTCCATTTTTTCAGATGGGAAACTGAGGCTCGAGGAATTTAAATAGCCAGACCAAGATTCATACCAGGACTTAACACCAGGCATATCCAAATCTCATGCTTTTAAGAGAATGCTATAAACTATATCTTGTTTTAAGTAATCCTGCAGGCAGAAGATATATTTCAGCTTCATGTAAAGGAGCTATCTGCCCCTCAGCTCCATCTGGAAATGGAGCCAATGGCCTGCCACAGGAGGTGGTGAAGGGTATTTAGAAAGTTGAGAATCATTTGAACGGAAGCTCCTACTCTCTGGTTAACCATCACATCCTAGCACAGTGCTTAACACACACCTGACCACAAGAAATGCTTGTTAGATAAATGGATAAAGGGCCAACCCGGAGCACTGGTCCCAGACCACTGGTCCCTTCTGGTCTGCCCAACTTGGATTCCAGTGAGGTTTGAATTTCCCAGAGGAGAGGGGAGAGTATCAGAATCCAAAAATACCACCCAAGAGTGACTTCAACAAGGGGTCTTTCAGACCCTGCCAGCTGCAGACCTAGAACAAAGCATCACCCTTGAGGGAGCCTCTCTGGGGCATTGGTGGCCATGGGTGGAAGCTGATGTGCCTGCTCTCCCCTCTCAGGCCGTCATGTCCAGCGACTTTGCCATCTCCCGCTTTAGACACCTCAAGAAGCTGCTGCTTGTGCACGGCCACTGGTGCTACTCACGCCTAGCCAGGATGGTGGTGTACTACTTCTACAAGAATGTGGTGAGTAGCCCTGTGGCACTGTCTCACCCAGGCCCTGGAAGTCCTTGCCGAAAGCATCCCAGCCTAAGGCAAGGAGTCTGGCTGGCCTGGACACGGGATCCCAAAACTGCTCCTTACTAGCTCTGCGACCTTGGGCTACACTATTCATTTCTCTGGGTCTCAAATTCCTCTTAGATAAAAGTAGAGCTAATACTTTATATGTTTGTGAATTTCCTGTGAGACTTGGCAATACAGTATGAAAAATACCTGACACATAGGGGACAGCATGAATGGCTTCAAGTATGGACTCTGGGATCAGACACCTTGGGCTCAAATTCAGATTCCTTTATGTGGTAATCCCCCAAAACTCAGTTTCATCATCTGTAAAATGGGGGTGATCACAGTACCTTTCTCAGATATATGCCATGAGGATTTAATGAAAATTTGTGTAGAAAGTGATTGGCATATCACAATCACTCTATAAAGTCAGCCATTATTTTTTATTGTCATTATTATTGCTGTCATTACTCTTAGAGTTAAATCTCATAAATGAGATTTATTTCATGGTTGCAAGGAAGAAGGATTTGAAGAATGACTAGCCTGGACTGTATCTCAATTTTCCTCTCCAGATAGAGCCACCCCAACGCAAGAGTTGTGCCCCAAGCCTTGGGAGAATGAAGGTGAAGATTTTCCACAGAATGTAAGACTGGAGCCCATGGCTCCAACCTGAGACCTGCACATCATTTCAGCACCACCAGGATTCCTTATAGGAAACTCCTGGAGGGCAGGACATTAAATAAAATAGCTATTGGCAAAGATGTTTGGGATGGGGTGACTATCTGGGTTGTAATTTTGCCTGAATCTAGCATACTGTGTGACCTTGAAAAGACCACTTATCTCTCTGAGTCTCAGTTTCTTCATCAATAATATGGAAGTCTATGAGTCTCTCTGACCCCAGAAGTGTTCTTAAGAACACTTTAATGTCAGAGTTCTGAAAAGCACATAGCACTATACAAGTACAAATAGTATTACAAAGATATTATTGCATCTCCTTAAAAAAATACGTTGGTTTCTGTCTTGTGAATAAGGGCCCAAAGCACACACCAATTGAGGTATTAAAACTGTCCATGGCTCTTGTTTGAGAAGTCCTTGATTAACAATGGGTACAGGAAGAAGTCAGAACATTGCAGTACTAAGGAAGGAAACAAAGGCCCAAGTTTTTCATGATCTAGTTCAAGGACTTTTCGAATAATCCCCAAGAGTCCCCACATAGAATCTGGCTACTCTTTAAGCAAGGAAAGCAGGAGGATTAAGACCAGGGTGATGGAAGAGAAACATTAGGAAAGTAGCAGCTACAAAATTGCATTCCTTTTTCTTTCTCTATTCTCCCAGTCTTTCTTTGAAGCTCTGGCACAGTCATCCTCATTCAAGAGTGAGACTTTCTGCGCAAAGTTCAATGTATATGTAAATAAACAGCAGGACAAAAAATAATGTAAATTCGATCAACCAGATGGTAATATTATCTCAGCAAGTCTACGCAAACCACCAGTCACTCCATTTGACTTGAAACACTCTGAGCATGAAAGACAGTTTACTTTGAATTCAAAATGCCCCTGCTTAATTTTTTTCTGGCATCCAAAGGAATAATTCTTTTGAATAAGCACAGCCTCTTCTCTGAATTAAATTCATCAAATAGAAAAGAAAACGTTTCCAGCCAGTCACGCTTTCAAAGCTTAAATGATATTTATTTCCAGCCCAATGCCTAGCTCGAAATTACGATACTGATGCTGCATTATCTCCTCATTGCAATTAGAGGGTGGAGAACTATGACTTCCACATCCAAAACCAATTTCAGAGGGGATTAAATCCCTGCCTGCTCTGGAATTTGAACAATGGATTAATTACTGTCCTGTAGCTTCTTGAGAGGAAGAGTAGATGTCCAATCCCAGCAATGCTGCCACTGGGTTCAATGCACTCACTGCAAGGTACAAAGATCCCAGCTAGACAGAGGATGTGGAAAACAAATGAGAACCTACCTGGGGCTCAGGAGCAAAGAAACACTGTAATGTTAAAAATCCAAGATGAGAGCCAGACGTGCTGGCTCATGCCTGTAATCCTGGCACTTGGGGAGGCTGAGGTGGGAGAATGGCTTGAGGTCAGGAGTTCAGGACCATTCTGGGCAACATAATGAGACCTCTGTCTCTACAAAAAGAAAAAAAATTGTTGATCATGGACCTGTAGTTCTAGCTACTCAAGAGGCTAAGGCTGGAGGATTACTTGAGCCCAGAAGTTCAAGACTGCTCTGCGTCAAGATCACACCACTGTTCTCCAGCCCTATTTAAAAAAAAAAAAAGAAAGAAAGAGAAGAGAAGAAAAGAAAAAAACCCTCCAGGATGAATAAATGTTAAAACAATAGAAATCAAAAATAAGATCAACTTCATGGATTTGAATAACTGTTGAATGTCTAGTGTGTGTTAAAAACTGGCTGGGCAATGGGTATGGAGCAGGAATCAACCATCTATACCAGGGCTCAGTAAGCTGTTTCTGGAAAGGGCCAGATAATAAATATTTTCAGTTTTACAGGCTACATATGTCTAGAAGAATTTAATTGTCAGCTGGGTATGGTATCCCACACCTGTAATCCCAGTGCTTTGGGGGGGCTGAAGTGGGAGAATTGCTTGATACCCAAGAGTTTGAGACCAGCCTGGGCAACAAAGAAAGACACCATCTCTACAAAAACAAAAATGAATGTAAATTAGCTGGGTATAATAGCACATACTTGTAGTCCCAGTTACTCAGGCAACTGAGGCAGGATAATCCCTTGAGCCCTAGAATTTGAGGCTGCAGTGAGCTATGATTGCACCACTGTACTCTAGCCTGAGTGAGATCTTGTCTCTAAAAAAAAAGAACACAGAAGAAGGCCAGCCACAGTGGTTTGCACCTGTAATCCCAGCACTTTGGAAGACTGAGGTGAGAGGATTGCTTGAGCCCAAGAGTTTGAGACCAGCCTGGACAACATAACAAGGCCTCATCTCTGCAAAATGAAATTTTTAAAAATTACCCAGGCATGGTGGTGAGTGCCTGTAGTCCCAGCTGCTCAGGTGGCTAAGGTGGAAGGATTGTCTGAGCCCAGGTAGTTGAGGCTGGGGTAGGCTGTGATCATGGTACTGCACTCCAGCCTGAGCGACAGAATGAGACCCTGACTCAAAGTAAATTAATTAATCATTGCATTAATTTAGAAGAAAGAAAGAAAAGAAGAATCTCATTGTATAAGCCAAAGATAAGAATGAGAAAGGCCCAGGGTGGTTAAAAGAAAGAACTTTGAAAATTCATATGCTGGTCATAACACTTTCTAGCTCTGAACTTGGACAAGAGGCAACTGAATATCTCAGAGTCTCAGATTCTGCATCTGTACAGTGGGTCTCATAACATTAATAGTGTTGTTAATATTATCAATATGTGAAATGTTATATTAATCTAACATACAAATATACTATTAATAGTATCAGTATCAGCAATAATATTAACTTCTCTCAGTTATTAGGACAAACTATAGTGTGTGTTGCACACCTAATAATGTCTGTATACTAATATACCAATATACTAATGCATATCACACACCTGGCACATATAGAAGCTCAAATAATTATAATTGGTATTAACTACTAATAACAATGTTAACATTTTCAATGTTACTACTACTTATGATAATATTAACATGTTAATATTATTCCTACTATTTATGACAATGTTAACATGTTAATATTATTCCTACTATTTATGACAATGTTAACATGTTAATATTATTCCTACTACTAATGACATTGTTAATGTGTTAATATTATTCCTACTACTAATGACAATATTAATGTGTTAATATTATTTCTTCTACTAATGACAACGTTAAAATATTAATATCACTACTACTAACAATAATGTTAACATGTTAATATCATTACTACTAGGAATAACAACAGATAACAATGGTGCCACATTTGTGAAATGAGAACTCTAACTTGAGCACAGACCTGCTGAATGATTTCTTGCAAAACCCTCACATCTCTGTGCCTCAGCCCTGTAGTACCAAGAAGTTTCAGTAGTACTGCAGGACCAGCTTTCTATATGACCTTGGTCAAATCACCAGACCACATCACAATATGGCAGACACTAATAATGACACAACCCACCTGCAGGTGGGGAGGTCTTGAGTGGGAAAGAGCTTTAGAAAAAATAAGCACTATTTAGGCAGAAGATTTTTTATGCACCCTTCTGAGCTACATGACCATTAGGAAGAATTGTGAGGTAAACCTTCTCACAAGGTCATCTTACCACCGGATTTCCTGCCCATGGGTCAGTCCTTCCATCATCCCTTCCTCAGTGCCACCCCTTCCTCAGTGCCACATTACTGTCATTCATGTGTTACGTGCCATGGTCTAAGTACAGCTATTTCCATTTGATGGCAAAATGATGTTCAGATAGGCTAAGCGGTTTGCCCAAGCTAGTAAGTGATAAAACTGAAGATTCAAAGGCAAGCCTCTCTGTTTCCAAAACTTGTGGTCTTAACCACTATAGCAGAGTAAGTCCTTACCTCACATCACCAATGGGTTCTTAGAAACTGTGACTTTAATTAAAATGATATACAGCAGTCCTCAAATAACAACCTTTGGTTCATCACCATTTTGCTCTAACATTGATGGAAAAAAAATTGTTTTATTATACATCATTTGGCTGAAAGGTGCAGTTTCTAAGAACCTATATGATATTGAGCGAGGACTTACTGTTTACTCACCTTAACAAGTTGGTGGGGTTCCCTCCAGGTCCTGAATAACATTAATAATAATAGTAGCAGTAGAGTTAGCTCTAATTCTTACGCATTCCTGCAAGTTATAAGTGAGGAAACTGATGCCCCGCAGCGGTCAGAACTCCCAAACAGGAGTTGGTGACTGACTTCACGTGAGGCCCCACTCAAAACCACACCCTCTGCCTGCAGTGCTACGTCAACCTGCTCTTCTGGTACCAGTTCTTCTGTGGTTTCTCCGGCTCCACCATGATCGATTACTGGCAGATGATATTCTTCAACCTCTTCTTCACCTCTTTGCCTCCTCTGGTCTTTGGCATCCTGGACAAAGACATCTCTGCAGAGACACTCATGGCATTGCCTGAGCTGTACAAGAGCGGCCAAAACTCCGAGGTAGGTGCTCAGGCAGCCACGGTGATCCTGGCTGTTCCCTGATCTCTGCCTCCCCCCGGAGGCATTGGAGAAAGAGCCCTGGGCTGGGGATCTGGAGCCTGCATTCTGGCGACTGTCCCACCACTTACCTTCCGTGTGACTCTGAGTAGCTCCTTTCCCTGTTCCTGGCCTGTTTCTCATTTGCTATTGAGGGTGTTGGACCAGACCAGAGAGTACTTTTCTTCCTATTTCTTAGTTATATCACACATTAATATGGGACTGTTCTAGCTGAAAGGGGAGAGGCATGCACAAAGGTCCTACCCCTCTCAGAAGGCTTCTCCAGGCTTCAAGGTGCCTTGACAGAACCTTGAGAACCCTTGAGATTAACAGCTAGTGTGTGCATCACTGGATAAGGCAGACATAAACAATGCCTCTGCTTCACATCAGGAAATACAAACATAGAATTCAAGATTATATGTGGTCTAGAACTGGCGGGTATGGAGTAGACTAAAGCTTGAGAAGCCATTAGATGGGTTCCTACAAGGCACAGAGAGGTCACACTGCAGCCATGAACGATTGGGAGAAGAAGTCTGACAGCGGGCACTCCGGCACCAGCAAGGAGCTGGATGAAGGGACCCTGCCTTGGAAGAGCGTGGGGGATCTGGGCAAAGGGACTTCAGAACACCTGAGGATATCTTTGCACCTGGCAGAAAAGAGGGCAAAGAGGGCAAAGCCAGATGTGGTGTTAGAGAGCTGGTGGGGGTGTGTGTGTGTGTGTGTGTGTGTGTGTGTGTATGTGTGTGTGTGTGTGTGTGTGTACAGTCAACAGAAATGCAAGCCCAGTGGAACCCAAAGACTGGAGGAGAAAGTAACACAACAGCCCAAGCAGTTCAGACCCAGGGTGGGAGGCAAGGCAGGAGCACATGCATATCTCAGGTTCTTCTAAGTTCACCCTCCCATCAGCAAGCTAACTATAGAAAGAATTCCCTGAATACTACCATGAAAGAAGTTAATGTACCAAAACCGCAGACTGTAAAGGGAAGGCACAGGAATGAATCAGGAAATGACGGCTTATCCCTGAAACCATTGAGCTCTGTCTCTTGGGAACCCGTGATGCTGAGCTGTGATTGAGATCTCCCCTTCAGATGCCATGCTGAAACTTTAGAACCTCCACACCTACCAAATTTGTAGTAACGCTAGTCATAGAGCTAATGAATAACTGAGAATTTACTAGCTACTAAAGCACAACTGCATTTAGTCCCCTCGAACCCCAAGAAAATTGTGTGTGTGTGTGTGTGTGTGTAGAGAGAGAGAGAGAGAAGGTCTTGCTATGTTGTCCAGGCTGATCTTGAATTCTTGGTCCAAGCAATCCTCCCACCTTGGCCTCCCAAAGTCCTGGGATTACAGGCATGAACCACCATACCTGGCCAGACAGTGTTATTTTTAATCCACATTTTGTGGAAGAAGAAGCCAGTTCTCAGAGCAGTTTAGTAACTTTTACAAGATAACACAGTTAGTGGCAGAGCTAGGATGTGAACTGAGGTCTGTCACCCCAAAGTCTATGCTCTGAATTACTCCATTCTCTTGCTGTGAAGATAAGAGGTGTTGAAAGTGCCATATTGTCTGCACCAACTATGCACAAGAAAGTTGCTTGCAAAGGATAGAGGTTTCCCTTGATGGCAGTCACTTCTGCTGTGTTCTTTCCTGGCAGTGCTACAACCTGTTGACTTTCTGGATTTCCATGTTGGATGCATTCTACCAGAGTCTCGTCTGTTTCTTTATCCCTTACCTGGTAAGTCATATGGTCCCATTCTAACCTTATAAATTGCAAGGTGGAACTGGTCCTATTTATGTGAAATTTCAGACTAGTAGTGTCTTTCTGGACACTTTAGAGCAGAGGCTCAATCAGGTGGCCTATAGGCCACATCCAACATAAGGTGTCTGGAAAGTCAGAACACTACCCACACATCTTTTTTTTTTCCCCGACACATCTTAACTTTTCGTAGTTCTTGAAAAACAAAAAGCTGTCTTTACTCTGAGTCAGCTTTTCCCCATGGTAAAAATCTGAACTTGACTTTCAACTGGTCTTAGATGGAGGGCATGTTCTCCAGTTCGCCGTGGTCCCCACCAGTCCCTTTTGTCCTACGCCTGGCTTTCTCTGTTCATTAACTGTTTCCTACTTGACTATTGAAAGTATTTGAATTTACTACCCTTCATTTTTATATAGGGTTGGACTTCCAAGGTCAAAGCAGCAAGTTTTCAGGCAGCAAGTTTTGATAATAAGAGATGCTACATTTTCTGACATAAATAGCAAAAATGCAGATAGCAGGAGATACCAATCCAATCTCAATTTGATTAACAAGAATTTAGGTAACAAGGGATACCAGTATTCTTTCCAGACAGACAGCCAGGGTGTGGATCAATTGCCGTCAGGTAAACAACAGCACTCATCAGCCTCAGAGCTGACTCTCTCTTGCCATTAGCAGCATGGTGTGGGCAGGGAAGAAAGGCATCCTGAGCTTTGTTTGAATATCATGACTTACAGTATCTTCCCTGGTCACTACTTGCCCTTTCTACTGTATCTTTTGCCCTTCCATGTGCTTTAGACCTTCCACGTGGAACTCCTTGGAGTTCCTGGAGTTCTGTGTTTACAAATATACATGTTCACCCTCAGTTCCGACCTTTGCCAGAACTGTAATCCCCTCTCTCTTCAAGCAATTGACTCCTCTTATTCTGCTCTCAGCTGATATATTCTCCCTTCTGTTCTCCCAGGGTACCTTGTACTTGTCTCTATTATGGCACTTACCCCACCTGCCCTAATAGACTGTAAACCCCTTGAAGATGGGCACAGAAGTATCCTCAGAAATTAGTATGGTGCCTGGTAGGCTCTCCAAGAATTCTTTCTTCATTCACTCCACAATGTTTCTACAACCCCCATCATGGCTTCCTTGGGCAAAAATGTTTCTAAATAACCTAGCACTGCCAACTCATTTCTCATCTTGGTCTGCCCCTTGGGTGAGTTACACATGAATGGCAGCTGGATGCCTTCTTCTCTCCCTGTTCCTTCTTCTTTCCTAACAACTGCCTTTATTGACGCTTTATAATCCTGTGTCCAATCCAAAGCCTTGAGTCCACACCTGACAGCACCTGTTTGTTCCTCTCTGCAGACCTACAAGGGCTCTGATATTGAAGTCTTTACCTTTGGGACACCCATCAACACCATCTCCCTCACCACAATCCTCTTGCACCAGGCAATGGAAGTGAAGACATGGGTAAGGGTCCCGGAACCCCTCTGGCTCCTCTGGCTTACAAATTGTACTTCTGTCTGTTGACTAAATTCAGATTTCTGCATTGTTTTACTCTGTACCATTGATCCACTCAGTAAATACTCACTAAGCTCCTACCTGTGTCCCACCTGTACCGGTATGAAAGACATGAAAGGATAAAATTCCTGGCCTCAACTTGCTCGTCATCTACCCAAGATCATAAAATTAACACATGTAAAACAATGAGACAATTAGTTGCAAAAATAGATCATGTTGGTCAAAAGTTCAGGGGTATTAAACAACAAGCAAACCAGACTGACTATACCTGAGGCTGTGTTAGGGAAGAATGTTCCCTATTTCACCCATTTCCGGGTAAAAATTCAAAAACTGCTTCCAGGTAACCACATCTCATGTGTATCTTAATAGCATATTGTGATATCAAAAAAGGCATTACCAACCTTCTCATTGAATTATTCTAGTCAATGATAATTATAAAAGCAAATCACTTAAAATTATATGCCAGGTACCTATCTACATGATTTGCAAATATCAGCTCAGTTAGCCTCCCAGAGCTCTTTGTGATGTGTCTTTACATTCCCATTTTACAAATTTAGAAATACAGCAGGTGCGGTAAGGTTAAGAAACTTGCTCCAGACAGTTCAAGATAGAAGCAAGCTTTGAACACTGGCAGTCTGACTCTTGAGATTTTAACCACTGTGATAATCGTATGAGGAGATAAGATTGAATGGTACAGAGAAACTCACTTTTTAGAAACATTTGTCCTTAGCCAAACTGAAATGGCTCTTTCTGGATGCATATGTATTAAAAATCTGAAAACTGCCCCAAACAACCTCAGTATGTTCCTACATTCTGCAGTGGAACTCTCCTGCCCTTCCACCCACCACTACCATCACAAGCCAAACCAAGCCCTGCTCAACCGGGCAGCGACTGACAAGAGCCACCCAAGGGAAGTTCTGGATCACAGAGTTCCCATTTTGAAAACCCCGCTCTGCTCCAGTGTGTGCCAATAACAGGAAGAACTAAGTAATAAAACCAAAAAGGCATGGCCATGCTTAAGCACAGGATAAATTTCCTCATGGTCCAATAACATCAAAAGAGACCACAATGTGATGAGGCAGAGGGAGGGAGAGAGGGCACTGGGCAGGCTCCCATTGCAGGCCTTCTGGGAGCCAGAACAGGACACAGACCATGGCAATGGAGAGTCTGGCTCTTGTGGAGTAGGGAAGATTGGAACCCCATGTACTGCTAGGTCCAAGTTCCCTTATTCAAAAAAAGAAAGCTAAAGAAAAGATAACAGAGCAACACCCTCATGTTCCCTCCCACTCTGGGAGCTTTTCTGTCCTCTCAATAAATCCTGCTTAAAAAAAAAAAAGAAAGAAAGAAAAGAAAAGATAACAATGACAAGCTGTTTGGAGTTACAGTTTTATCAGAAATTGTGAGGAAGGGAGGCAAGAATCAAAGATATAACTTTGATACTAGAAACTATACCAAGCTAAGGAAACATTTAGAACTCTTGAAAATAAAAAATCGGAACTGAAATTAAAAATTCAATTTGTAGGATTCACTCTAGTTCAGACACTGGCAAAAAGTATACTGCCAGATTGAGAGACAGTATTGGAAATTCATCCAGAATGACACAAATATGAAAAAGTAATTAATAGGAATGGTAGGTTGAATAAATGGCTTGAGCACCTATGTAACAGAGGCTACAGGAGGGGGAAAAAAGGAAATAATGGTAAGAAAGTAATATTTAAAGAAATAATCACTGAGAATGAAAGTTCTCATGGATATATCATAATGAAACTATACAACGTAAAAGACAAAGGGACAGTTATTAAGTCTACTAGAGACTATAGACAAATTCCTTGAAAAGGAACAACAGCTACAATGATGATCAAACAATAGTAGCCAAAAAACAATGGGGTAATTATCTTCAAAAGCCTGAAATTTAAAAAAAAAAAAAACCTATCGCTTAAGAATAGGGGAAAATAAATTATATTTTCAGATAAACAAACTCTATAAGGTTTACTACCTATAGGCCCTCACAAAAAGAAGATATTTCTGCAAGAACATAAAAGCTAAAACTATAAAAAAGAACATGATGACAAGAAAGGGCTATTCAATAGGCAATTAATATTTGCTAACGCCTTCATTGGTAGGAAGAGAATAGAAATACACATTTAACTATACGTTTTTCCATAAAAGTCCACATTTATTTTGTATCTTAAAAACTTGCAGCTAACCACTGAAGAAATGGAAAGAAAATAATGTAGAAAACTAACAATTCTGCAGAATATAGGAAAGAAGAAAAGATAAAATGATAATATCAAAGACAGTTATGGCAAACAAAATACAAAATGAGATGTTCAAATAAATCCAAATATATCTGTACTCATAATAAATGTAAATGGATAAAATTATCCCTTTGAAAACAAAAATTATCAGACTGGAGTCTTTTCATTCAGCAAATATAAGAAGAAATAGACAAATTCATAATTACAGTGTTAGATTTTTGTACAATTCTATCAGATATAGAGAAAAAAATAGAAAGGATATAGAAATGTTAAATAATATACCACATTTGATCTAATGTATAAAAACCTACTTCAAACAAATAGCAAACATACATTTTTTTTTTCCAAACACACACAGACCATTTACCGAAAAGACCAAATTGTGATTCACACAAAAATTTGAAAGGATAAGAAAACATAAAGACCATGTTCTCTGACAACAAAGTCATTTAAATTAGAAATAAGTAATAAACAGATAGCCAAATAAAACCTAACATACTTGAGAATTTCAAAATGCACTCCCAAATAACTCATGAAATAAAGCATAAATCATGACCTATCTTAAGTAGGAGCAGTAATTCCATTCCTTTCAGCAGTGATTGGTCCAGGATGGACAAAGAACCCAGCCCTTAACCAGTGAGAGGACAGGGGAAATCTGGGACTTCCCTTTATGAATAAGATAGAGGCTGGGCACAGTGACTCACACCTTTAATCCCAGCACTTTGGAAGACTGAAGTGGGAAGATTGCTTGCACTCTGGAGTTCAAGACCAACCTAGGCAACATAGTGAGACCTCATCTCTACAACAACAACAAAAATCTAAAAAGTAGTGGGTCATGGTGCTGCATTCCTTGTAGTCACAGTTGCTTGAGAGGCTGAAGAGGAAGGATCACTTGAGTCCTGGAGGTCGAGGCTGCAATGAGCCATGATTATGCCCCTGCACTTCAACCTGCAAGCTGCATGACAGAGTGAGACTCTGACCAAAAAAAGAAAGTATGAAAGTCTTTTGCCCCTGCCCCTTCCTTCCCACTTTGATCAGTGATGTGTGGCACTGTTGTTTTAGGCAATGAGTTTGAGGACAAAAGCTAAATGGTAGAGATACCAGAGCAGAAAAATTATAAGATTCTGGGTCCTTGAAAACACCACTGAGCCACTGTACCAACTTTGGAGCTGCCAACCTCCAAATGTTTTTCTATAACAGATGGTTACATTTCTTCTTTGCTTAAACCACTATAAGTCAGGCACGCTATCACTTGTACTTAAAATGCTACAACAAATATATTCATTCCCAATGTCCTATTCCCCAGATTGCTGTCAGAGTTAGGAAACCAAAGTCAGTAAACCCTTGAAAATACAGGGCTCAGAGTTCCAGTTGAGGTACCTGGACTTTTTCTGAAAGGGAGATACTCAGGAAATCTTCCCTCTCCAATTTGCCAACACCCAACTATGATACTTACCTCTTCCCCTTGCTTCAACTTCTTCCATGACTCCATAAGTCAAAACTCCTCACTTATAAAAAAAAAACCCTTCAGGATCTCACTAGTTCCTGCTAGTCCCCTGGCGTCACCTGTGACCTTCCCTACATCATACTTTGACCCCAGCTAACGGAACTATTTTTAGTTCTCTAATATCCTATCTCACTTTTAGGCCTTTACATGTGTTAATTCCTCTCCCTCTTCTCCCATTTCATCTGTCTCTCTCCTCATCCTTCAGGTCTCAGCTCAAATGCTATCTCTTCCAAGAGGCCCTCCCTCATTTCTAGATTGGATTCTGTAACCTCCTGGGACTCTTGTTGCACCTTGTGTTTTCTCTGTTAAAACACTTATCAAACTGGATAGTAATTGTCTGTTTTCATGACTGCTTTCCACTGTAATGATTCCAGCTCTTTTTCCAACTGCTGGCCCTGCTTACCAGAAATCTAGGCCCATGACCAGATTTTTGTCTGTAGACTCACAAAGACAACTGCTTCCCATAGACCTCTCCATGGCGTTCCCTTTGCAGTTCCACTCCTGAAGTTGGATGTGCTTGGTTTCTCAATTGGAATGGTGATTCTCTCCATCCTCTAAGTCTTCTTCTAAGCCTTCACTTCCCTACAGTTGTGGGAGTTTCTACAATAAATCCCTTATCCTAGACACTCACAGTGACTCTGCTTCCCTGACTGATACAAAGTCAGGGACAGTCATTATCTCCTGGCTTTGGGGCTGGAGTCATGATCCAGACCCCCATCCAAAGAATTCTATTCTCCATCTACAGTGACTGGTTCAAGCATGGACACATGACTCAGTCCTGGCCAGAGAACCTGCCCCAGGATATTTTCAAGTTGTGACAGTTGAAAAGCAAGAGCAATCTTTCCACTGAGCTAGCTGAGCTTGTTGTTTGGAAGTCTGGAGTTTCTAGTAATTCCCTTGCCATAATGTGGAAAGGGTATACTGGAGAATGGAGCCAACAAAGAAGAAAGGAGGATGAAGAAATGGAAATGCACAGTTTCCACAGGACATTGCTGAGTGCCTACAGCCAGCTTTGTCTAAAGCTAAACCTACCGCTGCTGAACTTTCCTTTTCTTTTGCCAATAGGGTACAATTCAGGGTTAGGTATACAAATGTTCATTATGTAGGTAGCCTTGTTGATGAGGTGTGTCCGCCCCCCAGCAGTTTCCCACTATTGCCAATATGATAATGTCCAAAATCTGCTT